TGCATCTTGAGTATCCCTGGGGGGAATCTGTGTGGGGGCTTCATGCCCAGTGGAGCTGTAACAGCAGTAACAGAAGAAGGAGAAGGAGATGGAGAAGACTACAGTGCTCTGCAAGAGGCTGTGCAGAGGGCCCACGGCCTGGCTGGAGTGTATGGGTTCTTGAGTGAACACAGCCTTGACTCAGGAGTCCGCCATGGTGTGCAGTGTGGCTTGGTGCGGGTTAATTAGGCCCAATGGGAGGGACTGGAGGAGTCACGTGGTCTCTACTTTTATATACCCTGAAACAAGGGTCCAGGACCCCCAAGGTAGCCTCTCAGCTGGTGTGTTAAGTTCAAGCAAAGTGGATATAGAAGCACTTCGATGAAGAGGGGTTTTCAAGCCCAAGGGCTTATCTTTTTCTCACCCTGGAGTCTCCTTGGCAGTACAGGGAGTTCGTGAGGGGTCTGCTCTGTGCTGTGAAGCCAAGGCAGCGACAGTCTCCAGACTATGGTCCCATGACACCTCTCCTACTTTCCAGGACAGGAAGCAGGACTTACCCTCCACCTGTTAAAGACCTTTCTCATCTGGCCTTGTGCTTTATGAATAGGTCACTTCAACTGAGTTGCTGGGAGTTCTGATTGGTGAGCTCCTCCCCAGGAGCCGAGTCCTCCACTGAGTGTATAGGTTCTTAGACACCAATCCTTCTCCACCTATCCCACCAGCTCAGTTTCCCGTCCAGGAGCCTGGGGGTGGGGTGTGGTTGTGCCCCCTCCGCATCACATGGGCTGCGTTAGAGGATGGAGGCAGGAGAACAAGGCATAGCCTCCAGTTCTTGAGGGCAGCCTGTGTTCCCATAATGGATTTTGGAGGCTCGATAATGGCTTTCAAATGAATACAGAAACTTAGGGACCCCGCAAGCAAGTGACTTCTTTTTCATCACCAAAGCCCACATGACCTAGGGGTATGCATGAAGGGATGAGAATGGAAGGGGAAAGAGAGGCACTAGCCCTTTAAAGAGGAATCCAGGGTTTGTAGAGCAGTGTAAATTAACATGCAAATGGTCTGCGAAAGCAGACTTGGGACCTGGGGCAGTGGACTTGGATGAACCAAAGAGTTCTCATGCCAGTTTGCCCAGCCCTGAATGGTGGTTCCCTGCTGGATGTGAGAAGAAGCACTACAGCTCCAGAATTTCTATAAAGGAGGCACTGGGGTTGGGGTGGGGGGGGCGCTGCAATCTGGCTGGGGAGGTTGGGAGCCTCTAGAGAGTCACTGAACTGACCTGGGAGCCACATACTTTTTTTTTAAAACTGATTGTACATTTATTAGAGGGTGGCTTTGATTCTCAGTTTCTGTCTCTAATCTGTTAATGTGACAGCAGGAAGCAATGCCACTTTATTTATTTTTATTTGATTTTTTTAGATTTTATTTATTTATTTGACAGAGAGAGACACAGAGAGAGAGGGAACCCAAGCAGGTGGAGTGGGAGAGCGAGAAGCAGGCTTCCCCGCGGGACAGGGAGCCCGATGCGGGGCTCGATCCCGGGACTCTGGGATCATGACCTGAGCCGAAGGCAGACACTTAACGACTGAGCCACCCAGGTGCCCCTCAATGCCACTTTAATAACTCCCGTACCCAGTTCTTGGGCTACCTCTTTCCAACTTGATGGTCTATTTTGGAATTTTGTAAACCACTTCTCCCTCCATGTTCCTTTACCACCTGGATTCAGCCATTCTTTTCATGACTGATGGAATTCGACATTCTTTTCATGTACTTGCCTGGTGCTCATGTTATTCCAGTGACCTATGCAGACCCCTTCCTGGAGCTCTGGACTCAAGTAGCACAGTGTTTCCTAAACAACTCTCCCTGGATGTCTGTCTCCCAGGGACCTCAAGCTGTGCACATTTGAGATAGGACTCAGAGTCCTCCAAAATCCAGTTCTTGGGAATATTCCACACCCCACGCCATGTCCTGGTAAAATGGCAGCCCCATCCAACTAGCGTACAAGCCAGGAGGCTGAGGCCAGCCTGGACACCTCTCTCACTCTCCTGCCTTCCTCCTTTCCCACCCCTCCCCCACGCAATCTTTAAGTCCTGAGTCCGCTTGTCTGATACCTTTACCATTTCAATGGCTCTTAGCTGGTCTCCCCCACACCCTCTCTTTACTACCCTCCTACCTTACTGCCAAACTCCTTCAACCTTCACTCAGATGTCTGAATTATTCATGTCCCCACTCTGATGCAATAGTCTATCTGAGTGATACTTGGAAAGTTGCCGCCCTTCTCTGAGCCTTAGCTCTCCACTGGTCAAAGAAGGCTTGCCAAGGACCAGAACAGATCAGTTTCTGGGGTGTCATGGCTCTGAGAGGCTGGCTGCCTTCTGGACAGAGAGTAACCCCATGGTGAGGTGAAGGGCCCCCTAGGGTCCAGGAACTGCCGTGGAAGCAGTCCTTGGAGGCTTCACTTTCCAGGTCTTTACACCCTGCCTGCCACTTTCTGCCACCAAGAAGGAAGAAGTGTAAGCCACAGCTGAAACTCATATGTCTGTTCTGTTCCTCTCCCCCTCTCCCACATCCCAAAAATATGGGCTTGCTTCTCTCCCATTCCAGAACTTCAAAGCTAACACAGTCTAACCCAGGCTGTCATCACTGCAAACTATCATATATTGATTTAAAAAAAAAAACCCTTGGGCGCCTGGGTGGCTCAGTTGGTTAAGCGACTGCCTTCGGCTCAGGTCATGATCCCGGAGTCCTGGGATCGAGTCCCGCATCGGGCTCCCTGCTCAGCGAGGAACCTGCTTCTCCCTCTGACCCTCTTCCCTCTCGTGCTCTCTATCTCTCATTCTCTCTCTCTCAAATAAATAAATAAATAAAATCTTAAAAAAAAATTTAAAAAACCCCTTTTTATTTTGAAATGATTATAGATTCACAGAGAGTTACAAAGGTTGTAGAGAAAGGTCTCATGTGCCCTGTACCCCTCATCCTGCTCCCCCCAATGGTCACATCTGACCTAACTATAGTACAGTATCAAAACTGGAAAATTGACTTCAATACGATGTATGTATAGTTCTGTATTATTTTGTTACTTGTATAGATTCGCATAAGCACCACCCATGTCAAGATACAGAACTATGGCATCACCACAGAGATCTCCTTTCTGCTCCTCCTTTGTTGTCACATTTGCTCCTCTCCCTACCGTCCCTCATCCCTGGCAACCACTGATGTGTCCTCTATCTCTATATTTTTGTCATTTTGAGAATGTTATGCGAGTGGAAATATATAGTATGTGATCTTTTGCATTCCCCACCCTCGTGTCCCAGAGATCCATCCAGGTTGCTGAATCGTTCCATTTTCTGAGTAGTAAATGTACCAGGTGGTGTGAACGTACCAGTTTGTTTAACCATTCACTTGTAGGATGTTTTGGTTGTTTCCAGTTTTTGCTACTATAATTAAAACTGCAATGAACAACTTTTGCCGGGCTTTTGTGTGGATATAACTCTTTATTTCTCTGGGACAAATGTCCAGGAGTACCATTGCTGGGTTGTACGATAAGTGCATCCTTCGTTTTTTAAAGAAATTGTCAAGCTATTTTCTGGAGTGGCTTTACAATTTTCCATTCCCACCAGCAGTGTATGAGAGATTCTGATTCTCTGCATCCTCTCAAGTGTTTGGCATTGTCACTATTTTTTTTTTTTTAATTTTAGCTGTTCTAATAGGTGTGTGGTGATATCTCATATGGTCTTAATTTGTACTTCCCTAAGGGCTAATGATGTTAAGCAACTTTCCCTGGGCTTATTTACCACAATGTATATCTTTGGTGAAACATCTCTTCATGTCTTTTGGTCATTTTTTAAAAAAAGATTTTATTTATTTATTTGAGAGAGAGAGCGTGAGCACACATGAGTGGGGGGAGGGGCAGAGGGGGAGGGAGAGGGAGAGAGAATCTCGAGCAGACTCTGTACTGAGTGTGGACCCCAAGGGGGCTGGATCTCATGACCTTGAGATCATGACCTAAGCCAAAACCAAAAGTCGGTCGTTTAACCAACTGAGCCACTCAGGCGCCCCTTTTGCCCATTTTCTAATTGGACTGTTTTATTTTTTTTTTTATTTTTTTTTTTATTTTTTATTTTATTTTATTTTTTTTTTTGGACTGTTTTATTTTTTTAACTGTTAAGTTTTGGGAGTTCCTTATATATTCTGATATGCATTATCTGGTCAGGGGAGGGGCAGAGGGAGAAGGAGAGCAAGAGAATCCTCAAGCAAACGCCCCACTCAGTGTGGAGCCGGATGCAGCGCTCGATCCCAGGAGCCTGAGATCATGACCCGAGCTGACATCAAGAGTCAGACACTTAACGGACCGAGCCACGCAGGTGCCCCTATACCACATTTTCTTTATCCGTTCATCTGTAGACAGACAGGCGGTTTCCATACCTTGGCTATTGTAAGCAATGCTGCCATGAGCACAGGAGTGCACGTATCTCTTTGAGATACTGTTTTCACTTTCTTTGGATACATACCCAGAAGTGAGATTTCCAGGTCATACAGTGATTTTATATTTAACTTTTCGAGGAACCGCCATACTATTTTCCATGGTGGCTGTGTACTAATTTACATTTCTACCGACAGTGCACAACGGTTCCGTTTTCTCCACACCCTGGCCCACGCTTGTTATTTCAGGTCTTTTGAAAATAGCCACCCAGGACCCTGAGATCATGACCTGAGCCAGAGGCAGCTGCTTCACCAACTGAGCCACCCAGGTGCCCCTGTTTTATTGCTTTTATCTATCATTTTCTTGTTTTCAGTTTTATTGATATCTGCTCTTATCTTTATTATTTCCTTCTTTCTGCTGGATTTTCTTTTTTTCCTCTTCTTTTTCTCGTTTCTCTTTTCTAATGTAAGCATTTAGTACTACCAATTCCCTCTCAGCAGCATTGCTGGTCAAAGAACACACCTGGTGTGATCTTATTTTTATTTATCTTTTTATGGTGAAAACAATTTATATTTAGATTTAGGCAGCTGGACTCAGTTTAGATGATCCCAGTTTTGTTGGCGAGATCCAAAGCACCGTAGTCAGGAGCCAGCTGGCTATATGCCTTCTTTTCCCCTTTGGGCCTGATCAGGGTGTTGACCTTGGCCGCATCAATGTCACGGAACTTCTTCACAGCCTGTTTGATCTCGTGCTTATTGGCCTTGACGTCCACAATGAACACAAACGTGTTGTCTTCTACTTTCTTCATGGCTGACTCAGTGATCTGGGGGAACTTGATGATAGCATAGCAGTAAAGCTTGTTTCTCCTGGGGGCGCTCTTTCTAGGATATTTGGGCTGACTTCAGAAACTGTCTTAGGCTGTCAGAAGGTAGGTGACACGTGGATTTTCTTTTCTGTCTTGGCTGTGGACACCCTTCAGGGCTGCTTTCTTGGCCTTCAAAGCCTTCGCTTTGGCTTTGGCTTTGGGAGGGGCTCTTTTGGCACCATCTTCGCGAAGGGCTAGTGAATAAACGAAGGACTGCATTGGGTTTGTGGGGGGCAGTCTGGGGCCAGGGTTGGAGGTCCCACCAAGGCCAGGTTATTACAGCATTGGCTCCCATTTTTGGTGCTGACACCGGTTGGGTTAGGGGTCTGCCTGTTGGGGCAAAGGTTTCTTGGAGGGCATCTCACCCCTCCCCACCTGAGGACCCCTCATGGGGGCAGTGGAGCAGCTACTTGTTGGGATTTTTAAAGCAAGGTCTCAGCCGGCCAAGGCCTTTCTTTCCCTGAGGGGGAGCTGTGCAGGTTGGCAAGGCTGTGGGGGCTCACAGTTGCCCCCTGGTGGCCAGCCTCAGCTCCCTCCAGCTCTCTGACATGGTGTCCTCCCAGTCTCAGGCGGCAACCGCACACCCCAAGGATGGGTCCCTCCAGTTCCCAGATGTGAGGGAACAGGAATGAGGCTCACCAGCATTCCTACTCTGCCCTCCTTTCTGCCACATCTTCATCAGGGAAGACCTCAGGGGAGGACTTGGGCCATGTCTCCCTTCAGCATCCATGAAGATACTGCCAGAGTCCCAGCCCTCGCTGCTCTCCAAGGCCACTTTTGTATGATCAGGACAGATTCCAAGAGAATCAAGTCATGGAATGACCTCCCTCAGCTGCCCCCCCCCCCCGCTTCGTCTGGCCTGACCCTCCCTCTCTTGCCTCTTCCTCTTGGCATGTTCTTTGCCAGACTGTAGATTCTATCAGTGAGGGAGCCCCAGAAGTCCCCTGCTTCTGCAAGTGCCCGGAACTGCAAGCCCAAGCCCTTATGAGAGTCAGATGGACACATGCTTTGAAGAGGCAGGGGCTGGTGAGAGCCCCCCCCATTGCTGCCCCTCCCTCCCCAAGGCTCTGTGTCCCTCAGCAAGGCTTCCCCTGAACAGCCCTTCAGAATCCTCTCCCTGTGTCTGTAGCCAGTGCCAGCCAGCCCATACCCGCCGGCAGCTAGAGTAGGCAGAGAGGTCATGAGCCCCCATATTCTGGACCAATGATGGATTTATCCAGCCCCCAACATGCTCTGACCTTGTTTGACAGAAAGCCCAGGATGAGCTGCCTCCGCAGTGGGGGCACCTGAGGTAGGTGGGGTGGGTGTGGGCAGGAAGATAGCTCTTTTTATGCCCGAAAAGACAAGCATCCCAGATAACTAGGCTGAAGTGTGGGGTCTTCATGCATTCAGGCCCATCTGCTTTTTCTATAGCCTCTCCCTAACCCCCTGGAAGGAAGACCCGGAGCAGGTGCTCTTTAGGTCTTGGGAAGAGTCTTTACTTCCTCTTCTCCTCCCTCCCATTAGAATAGTTCATAAAAGAAAGAGGAAACTATGTCTCCACCAGGCCTAGATGCTTCTGCCAAGCAAAGGTGTAAAACGAAGATGTGAAAATTATGTCAGTTATTGGGGTTTTTACTGGATAAGTCATCCATTTTACTGTGTTCTGGGGTATCTTTATTCACAGGAGGCAAAACAGAGGTCCCAGGTCAGTTCCCAGCTCCCCATGTCCACTAGCTGCCTAGGGGTCTTTGAGTCGGTGGGATGAAGTAGTTTCTGGGGACCCACACAGGTTGAACCTTACACGCAGCCTGGCACTCCCCAGGGGCCCAGTATTGAGTATTGAGTGGAGAAGAGCAGAGGGCAGCCTGTCAGAGAGGTAGTGGGAGGATCAGTGAGTCACAGATGTTCCAGAAGGGCACAGGTGAGGCCATGAGAGTGGGCACAAAGGAGCATGGGATCCCCCAGCTGCTCTGTGCTGGGCCTAGTGTTTCCCGAATAGGGCTCTAGGGGTTCGAATCACTTCTGAGACTGAGAACCCAGGCTCAGGGAGCATTGTGGGAGCCTCAACTAGTCATAGTACTCAAGCAAAGCAAATCTCGAAGGCCAGCAATTGGTACTGATACTGGGTGAAGGGACTCTGGGATAAAGCAGACTTCTGGAGCATAGGAAGCCCAGGGGCTGGCCTGAGGGGCAGCTGGGATGCCCAAGAAAGAGCATGCAAAAAAATCAGAGCAAGCTCAAGTGTACTGAAGACAGACTTGGAACAGGGAAGTCCAAACTTGTAGGTAGAGGAGATCACCAGCAAGTCCAGGTAACCACAGGTACTTGAAACACCACAAGGTGGTGGGCTTAGCCAGGATGGATCTATCTCTATCTCTATCATCTCTCTCTCTCTCTCTCTCTCTCTCTCTATCACTTAGCTCTTGTTGTGTAACAAACCATCCCAAAACTTAGTGGCTTAAAGCATTAACTATTTATTATTTCTCATGGGTCTATAGGTTGGCTGGGCTCAGCTAATCTTGGCTGGGCACACTCCTGCTTTTGTGATCTTTTGCTGCATTGGCTGGGAGCTGGCTGGTGTAGAATGGCCCTCCAGCAGACCAGTCCAGGCTTGTTCACATAGTGATTGCAGGGGTCCAGGAAAGCAAGTGAAAATATGCAAGGCCTCATGGAGTCATGATTTGGAACTGATAAACTGTCACTTCCGCCACACTCTTTTGGCCAAACAAGTCTCAAGGCTAAGCCTTGCTTAAAGGGGTTTGGAAATAGACCCCGCCCCTTCATGGGAGGAGCTACAAAGTCACACTGATGGGAGGGGGAGAAATGGGACCATTTTTGCCATCAATCTACCACACCATCCATTTACAAAAGACAGAAACCTGGGTGTCATCATGATGCCTCCTTTTTACTTCTCCAACATGCACTACATCACCGAGGCAATTCGATTTCACCTCTAAAGCTCCATTCAACTTCTCCCACAGCCACCACCCCAACCCGAGGAGCCCTAACTGGGCTGTCGGTCTAACTGGTTTACTCACATTTTGTCCTCACTGTGCTTGGATTTCTTCAAAGCGCAAGTCAGATCAAATCAAGATCCTATCACCTTTCCTTGCCCCAACCCTCCAAAGACCCTGCATCGGTCAGGTCAGAGTTGCAAGCAGCAGACACAGGCTGTGACTAGAGCAGAAAAGAAGCCTAATCAAAGGGTATTGATTAGCTCACAGGACCCCTGGACAACTAGACCCAGAGATCACACAGGCACAAGGGGGTGGGGGCTGGGTAGCCAGCACCACCATCGAAACCACACTGCTGGAGCATCTGGTGGTGGTGGTGGTGGGGGGAACACCATGGCCACCATTACCACCAGGGTGAATACTCTTCAGTTCCCCCTTCCTCGCATCATTTGCTACAGACTCAAAGACTTGGGTGGAAACACCTTATTGGCTAAAGCCCCCAGATTTGGAAATGAGAGTGAAAAAAATCTCATGTAATTTCTGTGCTGACCCAGTCAGTGGGGATTTCCTCAGTCACAGGCAGGAGATTGAGATGCTGGACATTCGTTTTCTCAAATTTTATGGTGCTTAGTGGGCTCCCAAAGCCACCAGGGGCTGGGTGGGTGGGTATCTTAGCTGGTATGCGGTATTCCTGCTGTAATAAGCATTTTTTTTTAGTTGAGTCACAAACCCCCTTTGGTTTAACTGATAAAGTGGTAAGGATGGGACTTCCCCCCCCACCCCAAAGGCATAAAGAGGAAAAAGTTAGCCTGGTCCTCTGCAGAAAAAGAAATAGGTCAAAAGCTAAAAGTATGACCTAATCCCTCTGTAGGCAGGCAGGAAATAGGAGACGGGCAAATGTTGTGCAAGAGAGATTCCCCTGGGCTTGGCAAGAGGATCCATTGCGGGAGGCCGGGCCTCAGGACCCATTAGAATCTCACAGACTTTGTCCAGCTTCTGTGAAAACTCTCTCCCAGTGTCTGGGTCCGCAGGAGGATAGGCTCCCCTGTTCCTACCCTGGAAAGAGCGAGAGAGGCTAGAAGGGGACAGGAGTAAACCGGAGAGGGGACTTAAGTGGCCGCTTGTTGGTACCTCCCCCAGATCCCTTTACAGGCTGGTGCATCCCCCGCAGCTGCTGGGTCACCGCGGCCTTCTTCCCTAGAGAATTAGCGCAAACGGAGCTCAGCGCTTAGTAGACTGTGTCCCCACCCCCAGCAGCCCGCAGCCAATGGCTGACTGAGACGTACAAGCCCCGCCCCTTCTCCAGGTGAGTCTTACCGCCGAGCCTAGACTCACTCCAGCCCAAACCGCGCTCTGCCTAGCTTTGGGGGTGACAGAGGTCCTTCCCACCGTGGATAAGAGGGCAAGGGGAGCAGTTGACGGACTCCTGGGGCTCCCCTTCCCTCGGCCCCTGCCTACCTAGCCCAGCCCAGTGTTGGGCCTCCTCGCCTCTCCGTATTCCACTTCCTCCCCGGGTTGGGAGCCAAAGAAAGGTTGGCAGCCGGTCCGTTGGCTCTCTTTTGCCCCCTCGTGGATCTGGTGAGAACTTTGGTGACTCCCAAATCGTGTCCCGTGTCCCCCCCCCCCCCCCCCCCCCCCCCCCCCCGCCTACTTGTTTTTCTAAAAGTGGAACTTTGGGACCGAGGAGAGCTGGGGTTGGGGTTGGGTAAACACTTGTAGCTGGCAAAGTTGAGGGTAGTTTTCCCAGCAAAGGACTTGGTGGGTTTATTGGGGGAATGCATAGTAATTTGGCTCAGAAAACCTTGGGGTTCATGAGGGCCAGGCATGGAAGTGGGTGGTAGGGAGCTGGTTGATTCTGTGAGTGACTTCTGTGGCTTTGAGCCAGGTATCCCCTCTTTGGGTCACAGATTCTTCTTATGAAAAATGGAGAGAATCAGACCAGCTCCTGTATCTGAGGTCGTTGGTGGATTTAGTGTAAAGATTTTTTTTTTTTAAAGATTGATTTATTTTAGAGAGGGAGCACATGTGCATGAATGGGGGGAGGGGCAGAAGGAGAGAATCTTCAAGCAGACTCCCGGCTGAGTGTGGAGCCCC